GATCTAAAATTCACTATTCATACTACAGTAATGCTATAGTAAATTACTGTAGTATTGTTGCTAATAGCAACACATGATGATCCAAAGTGTACTATCCATGCTGCAATAAATTACTGTAGCATTATTGTTGCAACAAAGACGAGAACCGTAGTGCTTAAAAATATTATTGTAGCATTATTACTGTAGCTCAGGAAGATACTAGCATTTTAAAAATGTTGTTGTAGTATTTACAAAAATCTATATTTAAATACAAATGTAGCAGAAATAAAAAATGGGTGCACACTAGTATACAAATAAAGATGAAATTCTTTGAACGAGCTCACTAGATCAAAGTTCACCTAGCTCTCTTCTTCATCTATTCCTCTACACAAATGGGAGAACTCAATATTCAATATTTACACTATAGTAATGCTACAGTAACATTTACTGTAGTAAGCAGGAAACGAGATACTGCAGATTTTTTTTGAAAAAACATTACTGTAGCACACGAGAATATTGTAGTTTTTTTTAAAAGAACTGTAGCATATGCAGGAACTGTAGCAGTTCAAAAAAAATTTAAAAATACTACAGCATTTAAAAATCGGGATTACTATAACGAGAAAAAATGATATGTCGTTGTTTTACACGGTGTTCACGACTAGTTGGCTATATAGTAGAAACCTATCACTAAAACAAAAAGGCAAGGCTCACACTAGGTATGAATGCCTATGTTAGTAGAGTGATGCTTTTGCATATAGCTTCCCACCTGCCGGCAACTGATAATTAAAATCAACTCCCTTTACATTGTTTCCCCTGCCTACCCTTTGCTAAGGCCTAACTTTATTCCGCCTCTTCAGGAGGAACAGTTAACCTATCATCCTCGGATGTTTCATCACAGAGGGTTAACAAAACATCTGAGAACCTTTGTTGTTTGGAAGGTTAGTGAGGGGTTAAGCCCTTAACCCTTCCACTAGTGAGGGGTTAAGCCCTTTTGTTGTTTGTAGATTTTAATTATATTAGTTTTGGGGATTAAGTGAGAAAAGTTGAGGGGAGATAAGTTATATTTTAAAAGTTGAGGCGGTCATCTACAAGAACTTCATAATTGAAGGGCGTTTTCTAAAATTAAAATAGTTGAAAAGGGTATTCTAAGCCGTCCTTCATAGACTCATAGTTGAAGGGGATTTCCTAAAATTAACCCTTGTTTTTTAGCGGTCTCTTCATGCCAGTAGAAGTTTACAGACTTGCCACTGTCAATGGACATCTTGTACCGTGCCATGTGCCGCCAACATCCATCTGCATAGGAAAATGATAGGGGCACACCCCCAACCACAACTCCAACTACACTTTCTCTCTCATTTGCTACAGTGCACCGGATCCCACATGAGATTTTAAAATTTTAAAATCTCATATGGAGCCCGGTGCACTGTAGCAAATGAGAGAGTGTGTGGTTAGAGTTGTGGTTGAGGGTGTGCCCCTAGTGTCACTCATCTGCATATGCCCTTGCATACAAACTATAATAGATTGCATTATGCAATTTTCAATCCATTTTAAATTGCTGACTCCAATATTTGTTCCAGCAAAGTACTATCAAATAAAATAGTTAGCATGATCATATATTTTTGGGGCTGTTTGTTTCATTATTTTTATGGAAAAAGAATAGAATTTGGGTCTAACAATGATAAAATTGTATATAAAGGATTCTTTATGAATCCTATTATTAAGTTTGGTTCCCCAAAAATTTATAGATTTTAGAATCTATAAAATTGAAAAAATATGTTGATTTTATAGAAACTCAAATTCTAATGATTTGGGTGGATTTGGGGTAACGCATTTGTACTATTCTCATTCTCTTTATTTTTCGGATTCCGTTTCTTCACAAACCCTATATTATTATGAGACCATATCATTTTCTCATTCTAAACCAAACTAAAGAATATGAATTGGAGGGTTTCTATAAAGTTGAATTCTATTTTTTTCATGTTATGAAACAAACATAGAAATAAAAAAAAGGATTTCATGACAACATAAAGTTATCTTAAAATTTTTTATGGATTAGCTAGAAATCCATAAAAAATATGTGATTCCTAATCCTATTCTTGCCCACTATTGAACCAAACATCCCCTTAGAGTAACAATCCTATCAAAACACTCCACTATAGAGGGTGATTTAAACGGTATGATTGGACTAAATATGGGCATTTTGGTCATTTACTCCCCCCCACCCCACCCCAAAAAAATAACATTGCCTCCGGTCCTCCCGCACGGTGCGAGAGTTTCTGATGGGATTGGTGCTCAGAGGCTCTGATGGGATTGGTGCTCATATTTTTAGGCTTAATTGCATTTAACTACTCCATAGTTTTCACTACTTCGCACTTACATAGCCTCACTTGTTTTTGGCCGCATTTATGTGCCCTTAAATTTTTAAAACTTACACCCATGTACATTTACTTGTTTCAACAGAACTTATATACCCTAAAGTTTTTACATTTTATACTTAGATGGGCAAAAATGTTTAAATTTTGCACTTAAATAACCTAAGTTATGCAAACTTGACGGATTAGGATATGTATGTACAAGTTTAAAAACTTAGGTTAAAAAGTTTTGCCATAAACAAATGAGAGTACTCCGTGAAAATTTTGAGAACTCTGCCAAAAACAAGTGAGAGTATATAAGTACAACTTTGTTGAAACGATAGGGTGTTTAAGTGCAATTAAGCCTTTATTTCCATGACTTAAGCGCTTACAATTTTTCTGAACTGTGCATAAAATTTGATCATACTTATTAACAATGCACTATACACGAGCAAAGTTAGTTGAAGTCATGATAAAGTATTAATGTAGAATAATCAATAACATTAATTATGAAAATATTAATCAGATTATTCAAAATATAAAAGTCACAAAAGAGAGAAATATAAACATCTCTCACATTTGCGTTGAGAGTAAAGAAAAATCACTAATTAAAAAATAAAATTTATAAAGGACCAGATCGAAAGAAGGGAGAGAAAAAATTTTAGATTGGAGAGAACAATAACGC